GCTAATACTCGACCTACTATAGGCCAAAATTCAGGATCTTCTTTTGTCTTTGAACTTTTGCACCTTCTCTTCACTTTTTGGGTTCATCAACTGTACTTTGAGTGACCAAAACCTGCTTAAGCTCAGAATATATCTAATCTAACCTATTTACAAGAATTTAACAATCTAATCTATTACATCAAAAGTGTGTAATTTCCAAAGTAAAAGTCAAGCAAAACTAATTAAAAACATAAACATAGATATGGAAATTACGAACGTATCAACTCCCCCACACTTAAACCTTTACTCGTCTCGAGTAAGATCAAATGTTTACAAGTGTCAATGTTTGTCCAAAAGTTCCACAGTTCAACAAAAACATAATACAAACACAAAGACCACCAAGGATGACAAAGAAAAATGAGTTTTAAACTCAAATTACAAAAGAGCATCTTGAGTTTAATGGCCTCCTAGTGTTGTCTTCTTTTCTCCTCCTCTCTTCTTCTTTATCTTGAATCTTCATATTCTTCATAAGGATACAATGAGTGCCTGCAAGAACAAACATTTCTCTCATATCTCTCATTTTGCCTAGGAGCCTTTTCAGGTTTTCATCCTAGCACCTCTTTTCATTTTCCATTCTCTCCAACTCACTCATTTTATAAGCCTTTTTTGCTTAGATTGCCCATTTTGTTGGGTTTTCAACCTAACTAGCATTTATTTTCTTTTGTTTATTTTTTTCTTTATTTTTTGTGTGTAAAAGTTCAAAATAATTACATGCATAGTGCTAGGTAGAAATGAAAATTACATACCATCATGAGTGTCTCCCCCGCACTTGAATCAAGCACTGTCCCTAGTGCCCGCCTTCTCCTCCGTAGTAGCTCCCTCCAAAGCCGCTCCCTTGGCCACCATCTCCCATGTAGGTGTCCCCGCCATCTCCGCCGTCGTATCCTTCACCCCCGGAGCCAGATCCTCCAAAGTTACCCCAATGAGTGAGGTCATACCATGAGGGTGGTGGAGGAGGGTTTGCCATGGTATGGAAGGATCCCTGCTGTGCCATAAAAGAGTACATAGGTCCGTAGAACCTATGTTGGTCTTCCTCATACCGATGTCTATCGGCCTCCCGGAGCTCCTCCAATCGTTGAAAGCCGGCTCGTTGCTCATCCTCCAATCTTTGAAAACCGGCTCTTTGTTCCTCCTCTAATCGGTTGAGCCGGTTGTCCATTTGGGTTATTCCCGTGAGCAGTTGTTGTTGACCTCCCAGAAGTTGTTGAAAGAAGTCGGGTGGTGAAGGGTTTTGGCTTTGTTCTGGGAAGTCCCGGCTCATGGTTGGATGGCTATGTAGTTGCTCATAAGGCTCGTAATCGGGTTGGTTTTGGGGAGGTTCCTGTTCCGGTTCCTGGAGATGAGGTGGGAGGGCGTTTGGGAAGAGGTAATGTTGGTCCGCTCTTCCTGTTTTGAATTGGAGTTGGGGGAGTTCTGGGTTGGGCAAGAGGAAGTATTTGAGGGATTTGGGGTGGATGTGCCAGTTGTACATATTTCTGGGCCTTTCTTCACCATAAACGATGTGTGAAAAAAATGTACAACCCGAGTGGCCCAGCCAAGATATGTTCATCAAACAGTAGTCGGGTATAGGAGAGTCATCCGTATACCCGAACTTTGTGGCCAAGTGCATAATCACCCCGCCCACTACAATAGCACCCTTTGCCACGCTTTCCTTTTTGAGATGAGCCCACATAAGATTACATATGTTGAAATCTACGTGGATACGGAATAGGGCTACCGAGATGAGGCACACACCCCCATCCTAGTGTGATGGTTGTTGGGACGTCCAAGTAAGGAGTTGGCAAGGAATTTCAAAAAGAGGCGTAGGACGGGATGTTGGACATGACTAATGTAGAGTTGGGAGGAGCTAAATTTGGTCTCCCCGGTCATCTTGGTCCATAGGGTGTGGCCGAAGGCGGTATTGTCGGATATAGATTTTTGGTACGAGACCGGAATACCAAAGTGTTCGGCGAACTCAAGTTTCGTGATGGTGTGATTGTGATTAAACAATCGAAACCTGAGTTTATCATCCCTAAAGTCCTCTTCATTGTTCTCAAAGTGCACAGAGCTTAGGAATTCATAGATAATTTTTTCATTTGAGTTGTATTGCATTTTGAAAATTTTATCCATGTGCAACTCATGAAAAAATTTCTTCATCAATTTGTACACTCCTAATTCCTTTAGGGCATCAAGGCATAAAAAGCGGGAAGGTTTAACTTGCCTTTCAATTGTGGACATGAAGCGTGTGCGTTGTTCGTTGTCCACGAAGAGGATGTCCTCGTAGCCCGGGATGGATGCCCTAGTGCTTGAGCTTTGCCCTTTCTCTTTCCTTGGAGCCATTGGAGTGAATCTGGCCTTTGAAAACCGAAATTGGAAGGTGGGGGGTAGGGTTTTTCGGACCTCTGAAAGTTGGGGGAGAATGGGATTGGTGGGTATGAATGTGTAGAGGAGGATGGGATTCATTGTCCACACCAGGATTGCAGTTGCATTTCATAAGCCCTCTCCACCTTCGATTTGATAGCCCACGAGTGGTGTGATCAACCTCTCTGAGGAATAAATACTTTGCTTGAGTTTGTGCCATTAAAATATTAAAATGCTACTGTGATGTGTGAATGTGGGATGGTAATTGAACTGGCTGAGTAAGCCTATTTATACTTCATTTTGGCCTCTGTAACTTTAGTATCCAACATGCAATAACACTTGATAACCAACATTAATGCCAATGTATTTTGAAGATCTTATTTGATATTTTGGGTGGCTCAAGAAGATATGAAAGTACACATCATTTAATGCAAATCCTTTTGATAGGAATAACGATGCGAATTGGCCCCTCAAATTTGAATTTGTCCAAAATACATTTGCTTTTCAAAATAGCTTACTGGGTTTGTAATTAATGATCAAAAAGTTTTGGAAAGACACAATGCTACAACCATTAATGCATTCGTTGCATCCCCATACAGCCTATTACAGTATTACAACAACAAATATTTAATTCATTATTTCACTCAAGACGTGACCTCTGCTACAACCATTAAATGCACAACTGCGTTATGACCACTGGTGACATGTCTGACCCGTTAGACCCGATCCGACCCGTTTAAACCATGTATGTTTGGGCGGGAAACTGACCTGGCTTTCCACAACTCTTTGTATATAGTAAGATAGAAGATTAAGTACTCCCTCTATATATTTTAAATAATGCTACATTAGGTTTGGTTAAAGTGGTAAAGGTAATGAATAGGGTAAAAAATAAAGGAGAGGATGTGATGTGTAAAAGTATGAAAGAAAAAAATAAAAAGTAGAAAAAAGTCAAAAACAAGGTATTTGAGTATTTTATAAAAGGTAAACTTACCTAAAATGGAAGAGTAACAATTTTTAAATACATTCCCAAAAGCTAAGCGTAGGAAAAATTAAAACACGGAGGGAATATAACATTTAAGGCTCCTTTTAAATATATTTATTGTTTTTCATCCTTATAATGGGTTTAATGCATCAAACCCCTTGTGATATGAAAATTCGGCGCATTAGCCCCGTGATTTAAAAAATGCGTAACCCCCAGTGTTTTGATTAATCATGCACAGAACCCCTTTTATGAATAAATTCAATTGTCAAATAAAAGAAAAATTATTAACAATTTTTATTATTTAGAGATTTTGACATACTTACTTGCATATTCAATCAGAATATTAGAAAAAGTGGTTTCCAAATTGTTAAACTTATTCATAAAAGGGATTCTCTGCATGATTAATTAAAACACAAGGTGATTTGACACATTTTTTTATATCACAGGGGCTAATGCGTTGAATTTTCGTATCACAGGGGGCTTTGGTGCATAAAACCCTCCTTATAATATGCATTATGTTACTTTTAGTCTATCTCTAACTTTTAATTCATTCTACTTAGAAAAAGTTATTATCCATTGCATAAATCTACTAAAACATTTAAATTTATCATGTTATACTTTTTAAGACTAATACGAGTATTAAGTCAATGTGAAACTAATTATTCACGTTTTGAAAATATGTATTAAAACATTATTCTAAAAATTAAAATTAAATACTTTTTGAATAATATGACAATGATTTTTTGGAAACATATTAATCAGGGCTATTTCTAGATCAAACATATGTTGTTATCATTAGTGATGAACTAAAAAGAAAATCAACATAAATTTCAGGGATAAAAAACAAAAATACGCCGTAATAATTTTGTAGATGTGCAAAACAAAATATACTATATATTTGGACGGAGTAAAACACTAAAACATATTTAAACCTCTACAAAAAATCCTAATAATGTTAGATTTATATAAGTACATTTTATAAATACTCCATAATTTTCAAACAAATAATTTTCAAGAATCAAATTACATAAAAGAAAAAAAATGTATATGCAAAAAATACATTGTCTAACAAGAAATGTTGATCACATATTTCGTTTGTAACTTTGTATGGACATATACATAAATATTGTATATATGAAGTTAATAGGTTGACACATAATTAATGTTTTTAAACACACAAATTGATATATACTAGTACTACATACGTGGTATAATATACACAAATTGTCTATATCCCAAGTTTACATATTTTTCAAATTAATTTTAGGTATTAATACCATTTATTTGTGATGTAATTTGATATACAATTATGCCATACTACTTACATGACTGGATTTGATATAATGTGTACAAATATGTACAACAAACTAGTTATATACCTCCGTCTCGAAAAAGTTTTCATATTGAGTTTTCTTTGTCAGACAAATTTTGAATAATGATTTTAATTATTGTATTTATATATAATATATAATTTATAAATTTTATACTTTTATGAAAATATTTTGAATAAGAAACAATTTGATAAAATTTTCATATTCTAAATAATTTTATATTAAAAAAATACTCCGTCTCATTTATCAAATTGGCCATTAGGATTATAATAAAGTTCCCTTATACGAAGTACTCGTAATAATAAGGATAAGGATTAGGATGTACTACGGCTAGAATTTGAAAGTAGGCGCCATCAAACAGCGAATAAAGATTTTAGGGTTTATAGATTATGGTGAAGCAAAACATAGTCAGTCTATCTGCTCTCACTTGAAGTCAAGAACACAATAAAAGAGCGGGAGGAACGCCCATATTTCTGGTAAAAGCCCCCAACCCGTCAGAAGATGTCTATTGGAGTCCGCGAACTATGCGTTCTGGGAGCGTTCAAGCCATTTGGCCTGGTCGCCGAAACTCAGGAAGGAAATCCACCCCAGATTTTATCTGGCGATTACAGTTACTTCCTCTTCAGTCCTGAAGTCACCAAACAAAGAGAAGTAGCGGATGACTTCAACGAAGCTTCACCTTCCAGTGATCGGAGTGATCAAGAACTTTTTGTCAGAGGAAACAGGTAATTTTGAGCTCGTATTCATTTCATAAAAACTTTTTTGTCAGCCAATGCTGCCACTTAGTATCAATCCCAATTTTATTTGTGTCAAAGCTAACATCTTGACTTGAATTGGCTGAAATGTTTATAGGATAGTATGGAGCATAGGTACACGAGTGTATAAGAGGTTCACTTCACTCTCCACAGTGATCAAGGTATCACTTCTATACGTGGGCACATTTAAATTTTATCCACTCTTTTCTGCAATTTTGTGGAATATCTATCAATCCTCAATGTCAAAACTGAAATGGCTAATTAGTTTCCAGATAACTTACTACAACAACAACATCCAAGCCGTAGTCCCAAAAGATTTGGAGGTCGACAAACATGAAACGATACATGATATCGGAGCCAAAAAGAAAAGAAAGATAAGAAACATAAAAAGATAAGGTATGATAGAAAGATAAATAAAGATAAGATAAAGATAAAAATGGTAAAGATACAAAGAATAACAAGAATATATATATATATAATAAAAAGGATAAAAGGACAAAGAACATAAGATAAAGAAGATAAAAGGATAAAAAAGACTTATTGAAGACTGATTACTGTTCTATTAATATTGTGACGATAGTGTCTCTAGATAAGCTGAGTTTTGAAAATTTCACTTGTCCCCAATTCAGTCAAAGTAACTATCGGATTGTTTCCAACAAAATGCTTTGCTGCCTGCCTATGTTTGAAGCGAGCTTACACAATTTCTGCATTATAATAGGTTTTCTTGTGCCGGATGGGGGGTATGTCTGAAACTGTTCTTTGTGTTCAACAAATGGATAGTTTAGCAATTTATAATACCTCAGGTATTGTCCCTTTATCTTTGGAACACTTACTTGATCTTTACTTTACCAGATTCACTTTTACGCATATTCTTACCCTGGTTATAATTTAGTGTGGTACACCAGTAATCACAATAATAATCTTAATACGAACATAGAATATTTTTATCCTTCACGCTTAAGATGGCTTGGCATATTGAACACATAATTATGGTTGTACATAAATTGTTGACTATAGTGCCAAATCACACCCTCTTAAATATCTTCTTGGTTGTTTCTGATTTGACCACCTAGGCACCTAATAACAGTTTTTGGCATTGTATACCTAATTTCATGTTAACATCTGATTTGGGTGAAGGGTTGGATACTATTGTATATTGATGATGTATCCTTTTTTATCTTCCATCAGGAGAAGTCATATCTGTCCCTCTTCCTCATAGCATTTTATCAATATGGCCTCTTCCATGTGGGTTGCTTCTTGAACAAGCAGCAGAAGGGGTCTCATTCACCAACAGCTCACACTCTTCTTCAAGCTTGTATTTAAGTCCCATTGACACAGTTCATCCTAAAAGGAATCTAATCCCTTTACACAATACGAATAGGAATATTGAAATTGATTTTACCTTGAAGGGAGATGGGTTTTCAATGTCCTCACATCTGATATTGAAGGACACCCTGGAAGAACCTCAGGTGTGCATGGTTTAACATTGTTTGCTGTTTCATACTTGGCCTGAAAATTTCAGTTTTCGGTTCTGTGTAATTAGATGGGGAATGATTATCAAATTAAAACCAAACCATGTTTAGTTTGTTTGAGTTTGCTTTGGTTTTTCACTTTTTTTGTTTTTCTAAATATGTTAAGGTTTTATTGTTTTTTATTTAATGTCTTCTTTCATGGTTTATTGCAGTTGACTTATGTTGAAGAAAGAGGGAAACTTAACATAATGAATGAATTTGATGAAAGAACCATTTGGACAGGAGAGTGTGTACCTTTGATGGCATCATATAACAGAGGTATGCCTAGTTTATGAAGCTAGAGATACTAATTTGGTATCTTCTATCATTTTGACCATCCAAATGAGAAAGTGATGCATTTCATTTCTTATGGGTTCATCTGCAGAAAAGATGCAGCATTCCTTGTGGGCCGTGGAAATTATTAATTCAAACATGGAAGTGCCAAGTCCTAAGCTTTCTAATATCCCTTCTGGAGTGATCTCAAAACAATTTTCCTTCAGGAAGATATGGCAAGGGAAGGTTTCACAGACAGCTGCTACCAAGGTGCTGATCCTCAGAAAATGTTATCGATTCAGTTAAAGTTGATAATGTTTAATTGGACATTTGTCACATTTTGTTCCCTTTTTCCAACATTTTAAACAGTCAAGGATCCATATTGGGTGTGCCTTAATATATATCTTGAACCTAATACACTCATTATTTTTAACTGATCTTTTTCATAACATCAATGATTTGAAGTGATCTAATGGGGTTTAAGTTGAATTGGATAGATATATTAACCTTTCAGTAGACTGAAAACATAATATTCTTAAAATGTGTGTCTGTGTGTGTTACATTGAAGCTTATTAAACGAAATTAGATAAATAACTAGTGTGATATGGCATACATATTAGTACTTTAGTACAATACTCTCACATGGAGACAAATCAGTTGCATTCGATTGCTCTTTATGATTCACAGTACCTTGTACCGAGTATCTGATTTGTGACTTTTTCATTCCATTCTTGATGATCTACTGATGTGGGTCTTATCAAATGATTTAACAGGTATTTCTTGCAAGTGATGATGATGCATCACCCATTATTTGTTTTCTTCTCCAAGATAAAAAAATATTGCTCTCTGTTTGGCTGCAAGCTGAAGACATAAACAGTGAAGTAGTCTATGATATCAAACCTGAAATGAGCTGGAGCATACCAGCAGTGGATGCAGTACCAGTTTCTGTTACTCGCCCAAGGTGAACCTACCTCTTTTCTATATATTGTTTTTGTAAATTACTCATAAATCATTCGTAGGACCTAGCAATGATCTCGTTGATGTTCAGAGTGAATGTAGGTGCGCTTCCATTTGCGGACATTGTTACTTTGACACCAGATAACATTCTTCTTCTCTATGTAAGATACTAAGTTTTTATGATACCATCTTTGCAGAAATGTATTGTATTTTTTCCTCTTTCATGTGTCAGCATTTTTTCTTGATGAAATTGTGAAGTTTCTACTGTCTTTGGTTTTTTATTTATCTTGAATATATTGCATCCACATGTTCAATTTCTTATTAAGCTATTATCGATATAGTACTCTTTTTCTTATTGCTTTTTTTACATATGTGTTATCAAACTTAGAGCTTCACAATTTCAGGCTGGGAAACAATGTCTCTGTAAGTATGTATTACCGCCTTCTTGGGGAAAAGAGAACAGGCCAGACAATAATCTAATGGAAGAAAAACCCGCTACGCATGATTTAAAAGTTATTGGATTAGCTGATGCCGTCGAGGAGCGTATAAATGTAATTATGAATAATGGACAGGTATATATAAGAACAAAGTTGAACTTATGTTCCATTGGTATATGTTTATGAAATTTAAGTATCTTGCAGATCATGCTCAAGTATTGTGCCAATTTTTAAATTTTTATCTGACAAGCAAATCTCATTTCACTGTAAATGAAACAACAATTAATCACACATAAACTTGAACTGTGAACTGCTTTTGACTTGTATTACAGCTCCTAAGATACTTGAAATTACAGAACTAACAGTTTCAAAATAATTTAATCATCGTAGAGAAAGGGATTTTTTTTGGGGGGGGGGGGGGTATTGGGGATAATTTAATTGAATCTTCCAATTGTTGCCACTGCATTTTTTTAAACCCGGAAGGCAAACCATCCATCGGTGGGGCAAATGCCGGGGAACATTTGCCAAGATTTTATTAGTGAGAAAAAAGTACAAAAAGTGAGGGGTGGGGGTGGGGGGCTAGACCAGACCTAATTGTTGCCAATGCATATGCATTAGTGTTTTTATGGGAAGTACAGTTAATTATATGAATTCCGGTTTATAGAATCACTTTTTACTTTGGTTTAAGGGATTATAATCACCTTAAAAATGTCTTACTGATCGCGGTTTCTATGAAGTATGAAGTACAATATCTGTTTCATGTGAACTTCATACTATGAACTCTATTCGCATTTCTCTTTTTGTACTCCGTTAGATTGATTTGCTTCCCCCCTCCAGATTTACAGATGTGCATTGCGTCGCTTCCCTTCATCAATGTTAGCTAATGATTGCATCACAGCAATGGCAGAAGGGTTGAAATCTAGTTTCTACCAGCACTTTGTTTTTCTTTTATGGAAGAATGATGACTCAGCTTATCTAAGTAGGAACGATGTTACTGCTGATTCAGAGTGGGAGTCATTTCGTAGTGTTATAATGAAAATGTGGAGGTGTTCTACTCATACTTCTAAAAGGCCTTCAGGTTTGACCTCGTGTTCGTCATGGGAGTTTCTCATTAACAGTTGCTATCACAGACAATATTGTCAGAGTAATCTAATTGCTGGAGTTCCACAGTTGGTATCTTCCAATCGGCAGGGGTTTGATGCATCTGAGTTATTTGAGGGAAGAACACAGAGATCTAGCAACACATTTTATCATGAGCTACTAGTTGAGATCCTAGATTCACTTCATGCAGTATATGAGACTTTGAAACTAAACAGTCTCCGGAAAAGGTATACATGTTATTTAAAATCCTCTCTTTAATAGCGCATTTTGTTCTTTCTGCGGACACTTTTTCCTATATTTATCAGGGTTCTCACTCCTGAAGCTATAACTTGGAAGTTAGAAGGCTAGTAAGTTTCAACATTTCTACTCATTTAATTATCTTAGAATAAATTTTGGAAAAAGAGGAATAAGTACACTAAAAGATTTGTCAGAGTGCTTGTGATAAGAGCGAGCCTTTAGCCCCTTGATAAAAATCCTCTCTCCAAGGAAGCTAATTTCTCTTCAAAATTCAAAAGGAGGCCGAAGTAAACCATAGTAAAAGGCTTGCACTCTTTAAAATTTAAATACCAGCATGTTCACATTTGCTTCACTGTCAATATCTTTCTCAAAGCAATCTGCTTACTCTCCCGTATTCAGAAGGTTAACTTTCAGTGATGTGGCTGACGACCCGCCTTATGGAAAAAATGGTGTTGTTTGTAAAAGAAGACGTAAAATAGATACATCAGCACCTTTTCTCACTCTGAAATCTTCAACTGTCCCGCCGCTGCTGTTCTTACTCCAACCAAAGTTAATAGTTACATCACTATGGTTGAATTGTTTTGCTCAAAACGTGATTGGTCATGTGTACTAGATGTGTATATTCTATGAAATTTGTCCATCAGTTTGAAAACCCACATGTACCAGCATGATGCCTATTTTCAATTCTACCATTGTTACAGTTCAACCATTTTAGAGTTTTTGTGGCCTAGACTGTTGTATATTTTATATCCATATGCTGCAGGAAATTCTTTTTCCATGCCCTCATATCTGCATTTTTTCTTGATCTAGTTTAACGCGCTGTTTTGATTGGTATCCGTTTCTATATTTTTCTTTGAAATAGGGACTTGGATCTCTTGGTAGTTCTATTATGTGATGTTGCTGCATTTTTAGATGAAGATTGCTACTTGGATCATTATATACGTGACTTTCCAAGACTTCTGAAAGGGATTAAGATGCCATGTGAGACATTTTCTCAGAAAAGACCGTCCAATTTATTCAGGTGGCTTGAGACATGTTTGCGACATGGATGCAATTCTGCTAGTATATCTGACATCCCACCATTGATTTTTAAAGGAGGAAGCTCTGTTGTAAACTGGGCACGCAAAATTGTATCGTTCTACAGTCTTTTGTGTGGTGCAGATCAATTGGGTAATAGGCTGTCATCTGGTGTTCACTGCAACATGGCATCTGGATCATCTCACTCTAGAGAGGAAATTACTGTCCTGGCAATGGTGGGTGAGAAATTTGGTTTACAACAGCTAGATTTGCTACCGGCTGGTGTCTCTCTCCCTTTACGACATGTAAGTTTTCTAATGAATTATTTTACATGCGTGTATTTTATAGCTTGGCACTAAATTAAGTTAAATGGAAGAGTTGTAAACCGAGACAATGTTTGCCTGTTTTTCTCGCATGCTCCACTGCAATTAACATGGTTTTCTTCTTGTGACACTGCAACTATACTCAATTTCTTATCATAATGACATCCTTACATTGTTCTTTTACCTAATAGCTGTAACATTCTTTACTGTTTAGGCATTGGATAAGTGCCGTGAATGCCCTCCAGTGAATTGGCCTCCTGCTGCTTATGTACTTATTGGCAGGGAAGATTTGGCTCTGCCACGGTTAGCATATCCAACCAAATCAGGGGAACTTGAGTATCATATTAATGCAAATTTAGTTTCTGCGTGTACTCCGTACATGCTGCACCTACACCCTGTGACGATTCCCCCCTCTGTATCAGACTCAATAGAGTCAGAGAATAACAAGCTAGAAGATGCAGATTCTCTTGAGGGATCTAAGAATGATGGTATGGACCATATTTTTAACTCTAGCACGCTATTGCGGTATGGTCGTGATCTGCGGCTAAATGAGGTAATTCATCGTTAAGCAGATATGATGAACAATAGATCCAAATCCCGGTTATCGAATATTTTCTTGGTTATAATCTGAACTATCAATGGGGGTACATTTAAGCTGGGAGAAATGATGTGGATGAGTATTTACCTATTGCAATTTTTCTCTCTTGCTCGGAGATGGGTATGCTTGGATGCAAAATTTACTCTCAATATCTAAAATTATCAATGCCTTTTGCTTCCTTATAGGTTAGACGATTGTTATGTTCTGCTAGACCAGTAGCTGTTCAGACACCAGTTAACCCAACTGCCTCAGATCAGGACCTTCAACAGGTAACTTAATTTCAAACTCAATTTCACAGACACACACTGCCACACTCACACCTGATCTGTAATTGCTTCTTTGTCTTAGCGGTTTTGCTTCCTCAAGTGAAAGATTAGCCATATTTTCTTGTATAATCCGTGTCACATCAACATTTCATTGTGTGTATAGCTCGAAGTGTTATGTAAAATTTTAAAACCACTTAGATTAAAAGTTTACCACTTCAAAACAGTTTGAGTTTATTTTCAACATTTAAAATTTGATGAGTATCGCTGAAGTAAAATTCTTGCAGAACCATATTTTCTGCTTGTAAGTTGTAATGCTGTTGTATGTTGTTTTAACTTAAAATTCAACGACCTTATCATTTTTTGTTTCTGCATACTGATTTTATTGCATGTTGTTTGCTCCTATTTTTAATATCTCTACACAGGCTCAACTATGGCAACTTGCGCAGAGGACTACTACCCTTCCATTCGGGCGTGGCGCTTTTACACTTTCTACTACTTGCACACTCTTGACGGAGGTCTACGTCTCCTCTATTTGAATGAATTTAGTCCATTGAAAAATGTTACTGAAGATTCTTACTTCTTATTTTCTTGTTATTGGCTTTCTATTTTATACTCCAAACATGTGTAGGCACTTGGAGTCCCGAAGCTTGTATTAGCAGGTCGCCTGCCGGCTCAACAAAATGCAATGGTATGCTGTAATAAATTTCATGGGAGGTGACACTGTCTACCTCTCTTCCAAATTGGCCTTTTTTCTCTTTGTTTTCCTGAACAAATGAATTCTTTAATCATCACCACATTCTTCTTTTCATATGTAGTTCTCTACTGTGGTTCAAGTTAATGTTTGAGTCTTGACTAAAGCTAAATCATCTAAATGACATGTCACTTCACCCTTATTTTCTTTTGGTATTGACAGGTTAATCTAGATCCAAATGTACGAAATGTACAGGAACTTAAGTCTTGGCCAGAGTTTCATAATGCTGTTGCTGCTGGGCTAAGACTTGCTCCTGTTCAGGTTTGGTTTCGGCTCATGACATGTGTTTATTTCCGCGATTAAATCAATGTGCAGTAACCAAACAACAATGACATTCAATCCTTTATCCCAAATGAGTTTGGGTTGGCTAACAACACTGTGGCAACCAAATGGAGTTTAAAAAACACAATGTGTCTTCGGTACAATGAAGCATTCAACTTTCTTTTGATTTTCAGTCACCTTTACTAGATTTTCTGGCTTGGGTGAGAGTATTACTAGCATGGATTACCCTCTGGGAAGTCCTCGTGTTGCATCCCCACCCCCATTTGGAGGGGAGCCTTAGCGCACGGTTAAGGTTTTGCTGTGTGACTAAGAGGTCATGGGTTCAAGTCATTGGAGCGACCTCTTGTCAAAAATTTGACAGGGGAAGGCTTACCCCTTATACAACCTTGTGGTGGGACTCCTTCCCCGGACCCTCGCCTTGTGGGGATGCCTTTGTGCACCGGGCTGCCCCTTTTAGCAATTAGAAAACTTGAATAATAATCTGCACGATAAGGAACAGAAAACATCAACTGAGATGAGACTCACATAATACAGTCCAGGAAGGATGCCTCAAATCTGCAATACACAATTCCAAACATTGCTTATATAGTATTTGAATTTGTTATTAACCAACATTTTTAAACCAGCAACTGAATTAGTGAAGGCACCGGTTCAAAGCCAATAGTTTAACCATGGTTAAACTAGTCAAAACTATTTTTTTTTAATTTAGTCATATACATTAAAAATAATTGTTTGGAAACTAAATTGATTTAAAATTATTTAAGGTAATTAAATTATATTCTATACGACAAAGTAAATAAAGAAAAAATTAAATTTAGAATATATGTTCAAGAGTTATTATGTGTTCACCATTTGACCTTTAGTTGTCCAAGTTTATAATAGTTTATGTTTCAAAATAAAGACTCTGTACAAAAGAACTAAAGTACAAAGTTACAAGTCCTGTTTGGTTCTTGCCACCGGTTTTTACTTTTGTCCTGTTTATGCTACTAACATTTATTTAGACTATAACTCCACTTTTTAACTTTATATCCCCAGTCTTAACTAAAGTAACTGACAGTATAAGTTTCAGCCACCCAACTAGTTTGGATTAAAGTTCCAATGATGATTATCCAGAGCTTTTCAGTATATTTTATGTTTTTTACATGGTTTGTGTTTACTTGTGCAGGGTAAATTGCCTAGAACTTGGATAATGTACAACAAACCTAAAGAGCCAAGTGTTATTCATGCCGGACTACTATTTGCTCTGGGGCTGCATGGGCATCTTCGTGTCTTAACTATATCTGACATATACCAATACTATTCACAGGTCATTATTATCACTTCCATTATCTTTATAACTATTTTCAAATTTCTTGTTTCATGTGCGATCTTATGCCCCTATTTATCTTCCTTAGCTTTGTTTTGGGAGTATTTGTACTATTTGCCATGATTTAGAGCTCTACAGTACTTTCTTTAGAGCAGATTATAATTTATGTATTTTTTGAAATCAAGGGCCTGCGACGTGATAATACTATGATGCTATTTATGGTAACAAATGAGAGGAGTTTTTATTCTTTTGCAAATGGGCACGCACACCATTATGTGTAGCACCTTTATCTCAGAAGTCAAAATTTCAGAAAGACTATTATATGCTACTTTGATGTGTTAAAGTCAATGCCTGGTATAGAGATTAACATGGTTCTAACTAGTGTTAGCCAGGTTGCATGAACATGAGTGGCATGCACCACTGTGTATTGTATTTTTTCTTGGAGGTTTGCAACATTTTAAAAAAATATTTTGCAAGTGATGATATACACGCCATTCTCTGTCAAAAAGTAATGAAGTATAAGTGTGAATGCATGATTAATTCGTTCTCAACAATACTTTATACATACTCAGGAGCATGATATTACAACTTTAGGATTAATGATTGGACTAGCAGCATCATACAGAGGATCAATGCACCCAGCAATATCAAAGGTGAAATCTTATCATCCATTTTCTCCTTGAGCCCATCTTCAAAGAAATTATGACCAAATGAGGCTGCAAATGGTGAACTATTTTTACCGTGAGAACTCTTGCAAGGATTTTGTAGGTTTTTTGTCAATATAGTGATATACAGATCATCATGTTAGTTAATGAAAATATAGTGAGAAACTATTTTCGGTAAAGAGCATATAAAATTGCTATTAACTTTTGCATTACCAATACTATTTTTTAACTTGGGAAATTAAATACATGTTAGATACATATCATGTAATAGACTAGAAGAATTATCCTAAACAGTATACTAGATGGGGACCCGGTTGTTATGAAGTCAGTTAGACTTATAACCAACTGTATAAATACTTGTACTCAGTTCATTGTTGTAATTAATCTGAAATAGTTTCATCTCGTATCTTCTTCATCTTCTATTATGGTATCAGAGCACATGCTCTAGATCGATCCAATAATGGCGTCCTCTAACTCAGATTCTGTTACCTCCACAAATTCTTCCTCCATCGTTACTTTCGCACATCAACTTCCGATCAAGCTTGATGCTAATAATTTCATTTTTTGGAAGCATCACGTTGAATCAATCGTTCGTGCACACAAACTCCTTCGGTTTATCATCAAACCAGAAATTCCGAAGCAATTTCTCTCCAGTGCTGATGAAGAAGCTGGAAACGTAAATGAATTGTATCTTACCTGGGAACAACAAGACCAAATGCTCTTCTCGTGGTTGCTTGCATCCTTGTCTGAATCGCTTCATGCACGAGTGATCCATTGCAGACATTCATATGAGCTCTGGAATGAGATCAACACGTTCTTCAGAGCAAGTATAGTTGCGAAGGCCAGACAGTTGAAATCAGAACTGTATACTACTGCCAAAGGTGAACGTACTATTTCTGAGTACCTTCTACGGATCCAAACCATCGTTGATAATCTCCTCTCTATTGGCGAACCGATAACCTCTAAGGAACACATCAATGTGATTTTAGAAGGTTTACCGGAGGAATATGAATCTCTAGCATCATCTATTTCCTCTCGTAGCATTCTCGACCCTCCTACTTTGTCGGAAGTCGAATCTCTTTTGTCTGCCAAAGAGGTACGATTGCAGAAACTTCGTGAATCGTCTCAGACAAATCTATTGTCTGCTAATGTAGCTCGTCTGGAGGTTACGTCCACAACTAATCAATCTGCAAGTGAAAATACTCCAGAAAATGCTTCGATTCAACTTGCTCAGTTTAACAACAATGAAAACCCTAACTCTTATCGAGGAAGAGGTCGTGGAGGTTTCAACCGAGGTAGAGGAGGAAGATCTGGAGGTCGCTATTCAGTCACATGTCAAGTTTGTGGAAAACCAGGTCACCATGCATTGATATGCTATCACCACTACAATCCAGCCTACACAACTTCAAATTCCACTCCCTCAAATTCCTATAGCCAACATTCTACCTTTCCCAATCCTAATCCTCAACCACCATATCCTAATACCTTTCCACAAAGATCTAACTATCCTCAGTCACAGTTTCCTCAGCCACAATTCAACTGGGATCAGATATCATCATACCATACTTCACCATCTCCTACACAACACCAATATCAACCCACTGCTACTCATCAACAAAATCAACCTACTGCCAACACTTCTATTCTTGGGCCTCATCCACAAACTTGGTTTCCTGACTCATGAGCCACTCACCATGTCACTGCAGATCCCCTCAACCTGCAGCATAGTGAGCCTATTACCACAACTGATAAACTCTTTATGGGCAATGGTCAAGGTTTGGATATCAAGTCTATTGGTTTTACTTCCTTTCCTTCCCCTTATCAGTCCTCTATTTCTCTTTCTCTCAGAAATATTCTACATGTGCCTGCAATAACCAAAAATCTGATCAGTGTTAGTCAGTTTGCTAAGGATAACAATGTCTATTTTGAATTTTATCCTTATGATTGCTTTGTGAAATCTCAGGGTTCTAAGCAAATCCTCTTACATGGAATTCTGGGAGAAGATGGTCTCTATAGATTCAAATCCTTTCCTGCTGTTGGTTCACATCAAAGTCCTACATCTACTAGCCAAACTTCTATGTTCTCTTCACACTGTTCCAAGTCTAATGCTTTGTTATCTACTTGTAATAATGCCAAATCATGTAGTCCTATTTCAACTTGTAATCTTTGGCACCTTAGGCTTGGTCATCCTCACTTTGAGGCTCTGAAACTTATTCTTCAGCAATGTAATATTTCAAACATCAATAAAAAGGAGATTGATTTTTGTTCTGCTTGTTGCATGGGTAAGGCACATAAGTTACCTTCCTATTCTTCCACCACTGAATACAACCATCCTTTTGAGTTAGTGTTTACAGACCTATGGGGACCAGCCCCCATTTCCTCCTTTGATGGATACTACTACTACATAGCATTCATTGATACATATACTAAATACACTTGGATCTATTTTCTCAAACGAAAATCAGATGCTCTTACAGCCTTTAATAACTTTTCTCAATATGTTCTGAACCAGTTTTCTACCTCAATAAAGTCCATTCAATCTGAATGGGGTGGTGAATTTAGGTCTTTTACTAAACTTCTCACTGAAAAAGGCATTATACACAGAGTTATTTGTCCTCATACGCACCATCAAAATGGTGTTGTAGAAAGAAAACATCGTACCATTGTTGAAAAGGGCCTTTCTCTTCTGTCTCACTCTTCCCTGCCTCTTAAATTCTGGGATGCAGCTTTTGCTACATCTGTTCATCTGATAAATAGAACACCATCTAAGTCAATCTCCAATTCCAGTCCATACTTCAAACTGCATAAATCTGTTCCAGATTATACCTTTCTCAAGGTTTTTGGATGTGCCTGCTACCCTTTCACCAGACCCTATCATAAACACAAACCGGACTTTCACACTGAAGAGTGTGTTTTCATGGGCTATTCACCTAGTCACAAAGGCTATAAATGCTTATCATCCTCAGGGAAAATTTACATCTCCAGAGATGTTATTTTTCAAGAAACCAAATTTCCTTATCCTACTTTGTTCAAACCTACTTCATCTGACTCTTCTTCTAACCTCCATCTACATCATCCTTCTGCACCTATTAGTGTTCAGACCTTCATTCACCCTCCCAACTTCTCTGAATCTGAATCCTCAAGTGCTGACTCTGTATCTTCTCAAAACCACCCTTCAAACACATCTCATGAACACCATCCATCTCTCTCTAATAATACTCAAAGTCAATCTTCCTCTCATGAATCACAATCCTCATCTCATGAATATCCTCCTAACACATCTCATCAATCACACTCCTCACCTAACCCTCATTCTTCTTCATCTGATTCTTTTAACCAAACTACTCCACCTCCTTCAGTTCCTATTGTCAATACTCATCCCATGAGGACAAGGGCAAAGTCAGGCATAGTAAAACCAAGACTTCATCCTACCTTACTGTTGGCTCATATTGAGCCTAAATCAGTTAAACAGGCTCTCTCTTCTCCACACTGGTTTGAAGCCATGAATACTGAATATAAGGCTTTGATTGCTAATAAAACCTGGACTCTTGTTTCTCTTCCACCAGATAAGCATGCTATTGGATGCAAGTGAATTTACAGAGTCAAAGAAAACCCTGATGGCTCTCTAAACAAGTTCAAAGCCAGATTGGTGGCTAAAGGCTTTCATCAAAAGTTTGGTTTTGATTTTGGGGAAACATTTTCTCCAGTTGTGAAGCCTATCACTATCAGAATCTTACTTACCATTGCTATTTCACACAATTGGTCCATCCAGCAGTTAGATATTAACAATGCTTTCTTGAATGGTGAACTAGATGAGGAAGTGTACATGGTTCAACCTCCAGGTTTTGAAGTTCAAGACACATCTCTGGTCTGTAAACTTCACAAATCACTATATGGCTTAAAACAAGCTCCTAGAGCTTGGTTTCAAAAACTAACCTCAGTTCTTTATGCTGTTGGTTTTAAACAAAGCAAATCTGATCCTTCCCTACTCATCTATCAATCCTCTACAGTCCAAATTTACATTCTTATCTATGTTGATGATATCTTGGTCACAGGGAACAATTCAGCAACCATAACTCAACTCATTCACAAACTCCATTCCTCATTTTCTCTAAAACATTTGGGAGAGCTTGATTTCTTTCTTGGAATAGAGGCACACAAGCTCCCAGATGGCAGTCTTCACCTATCACAGGCTAAGTACATCAGAGATGTTCTAAATCAAGCTGGCATGCTTGAATCTAAGGGAGTTATGACACCTATGGTGAGCACTTGTGTTGGGAATATTTTATGGTGTTCAATCTAGTTAGTTATCTTTGTATTTGTGTAGTTATTAATTAAACGTGTAATCCGGGCCACAAATGTGTATCAGCCCGTGGGCTTCCTTGTAACCCACGGGAACCTAACTAATCGAGAGAGGCTTAGAGACGCAGAGGCGTAAAGATAGAGAGAGTAGGGTTGCCGCTGCTCTCCTTCTCCAGGGAGAGCAGCGGCCGGTTTTCATACGGTATACCAGATTTGCGTTTAATCTTGTCGATATCTTCCTATCTGTTTCTTTTATCACTGCTATGGTTGTATGATTGTTAGTATTCTGGGACTAACATTTGGTATCAGAGCCGAGACGTGAAACAGGTTGGATCTATCTGCAATTTTTGGATCTAACGAAGAACTGCTCTGTTTTTTCTTCTGTTTTTCTCTATGTAGAGATTTGCTCCTGTAATCTCGTTTGTGAATAAAATTTTGTAAATTCATACTGTTGGACTCGCCTTTGAAAACCGATCCAGCAGCATACCTCTTTTTTCGTTTTCTGCAATTTTTATATTATCGAAGATCTCTACATTTAGATCTCGAAATCCTAATTTTTCACTGCTGCAGAAACGTTTTTGGCTTGAAATTGATACAGGAGAATCTCGACTTTCAGGGCTATTCAGAACAGGTTTCAGATTTTCAAAAATCAATGTTTTCGTTTCGCAGGATCTCGACATTTAGGG